TATTATTTTATCTAAAAATAATTTTTATTTTTTAAAATATTGTTTTATACGAAGAGAAATCGAGTTTATTATAAAAACTAATTTTTTTTTCTGTTTTCTCTCTTTATCGAGAATAACATATATACATACATATGGATATACGTGAAAATATTCCAAGAATAATATATATATTGATTCCTTTTTTTTTTTTTTTTTATTTAAAGGCTTCTAAATATATTCAACTACAATCTCTCGACAGGAATACCCCACACATTCTCGACGCAGGAGAGAATTAAAAAAAAAAAACTGATTATCTTTTGTAAGAAACATATTTTGTTTCTTCTTTGTTCAAATTGGGGGTTGATAAACTCTCCATTATTCGTAAAAAATTCTTTTTTAAATTTCTTTACATTACGTACAATAGAATTTATATATATTTCATTCTACAATAATATATACTTAACAAAAGTTAAAGTATTATATATATATACATATATATATATATATTGATGTGATGGCGCTGGTGTATGGAAAATGGCCAAAGGGAGGCGTATTTCATTTGACAGTCGCAATTCGCAATCGTTCGCGACACATGTGGAATCATTTTATTGTTGTTCACCGAAATTTAAAGAAAGACAAATGACGCTTGCGAATGACAAGTGGAACGCACTTTTGATCATTCTGGAGGAACATCTTTCTGATTTCGATCTTGCGAAAGTGACCAAAATAAACCATTCGCAGTGGAACTAGTGGAAGGCAATTTATAGGTTATCGAATGACTTGAAGACACGTTTTAATATAAGTAAGCTACAGAATAGTAATATAATATGTAATTGAGTTTGCAAAACGATCAAGGCATTTTATTAATTGCGTTTAATTAACTAAAATAGATATTTATTTTGTTTTACATTATCACCAAATTTATCATGATATAATTCTATCGTTTACATGCAATCCCCAACCGATCTTATCATAAAATATTAATTAATAATTCAATGATTATTACAGGATGATGAGGTTTTGCCCGCTATGTATAAAAAATGGCCTAAAAAGAAAAGTCAAGGCCTTTCAAATCAACTTCGAGGAAGCAGTATGGTCTTGTGAGACGGAAAATGTATACATCATTTTTGTTTTTATTCTCATGTACTCTCTTTACACTTCTTCTCACAATTTCGTTTGTATTTCAGTGCCCCTGGCCAATTGGTTATGAAGAAACAACGTTTTTCCAAAGAAACGCTTTTACTTGCGATTGGAATGAAGAACTATCTCCTCCGATTGGTATCCCTGAAGAGAGTATATCTACGACAATGGAATTGTTACTTTATACTCCACCTGTAACTCCTAGTGGAGAGCTTTCCAAAGAATCAACTGACAGTGTGAGCACTGAATATTTAATCAATCCTTCATCAGAAAACAAACTTGATGAAACATTAGTTAAAAATAAAGTTATTTCAACTAAAGAACCTATAGGCTTTCTGCCAACATTAGAACTAAGCGAGCTAGACAGTAATAATATTATTGAAGAAAGAAGGAATAGTACAAAAGAAGAAAATGCAAATATGAGTGTTTGTAAAGCATCGCCTAAAATCACTAATATTCAGAAGACTCAGCTCGATATTACATTTTTATTAAAAAGTGACAAATGTGCTGGTGATAAAAAAATACACAAATATAAACATTCCCCAATAGATGCAACTATGACGAAAATTGCTGAAAATACATTGTTCGAGAATACATTATGCAAAGAGGTTGATTTAGATACACAGTGTAATATAGAAAGCAAGCAGAATAAAAATAGCGAATTGGGTGATAAAATGAGTGGGGCAGAAACAAATTTGAATACAGAGTTATTATTGGAGACTGATAAACCAATGGTTGTTGCAAATAAGATAAATAATATAAATACAACAATTAATTCGTCATTGAATAACTCAGATGTTAATTTAAGTATAGATAATATAATAGAAGATATTTTAAGTACAGAAAATCATATAACTGAAAACATAAATAATGATTGGTTACATTCACTCATTGATATATAACTTAATTTACTATCATTTATTAATGATAAGAAAATAATTATATAAAAAAAGACTGAGACATATACACACTGTAGACTCTAAAGGTTATATCAAGATACAAATGTTGACATAATAAAATGTTGACAAAACTAAAATATTTTGATGCAATATAAAAAATATAATAAAAAGCATTATTACCTGTTTTGAAAAAAATGCATTTTCTTATTATTTTGTATTTTGTTTTACTGTTAACGACATGGTAATACATTTCTCGATATGTAATAGAAAAAAATTGTTAAATAATATTCAATATTTATAGTAAACTACTTGCGATTTACAGCATAGAAGAAAAACAAATCTTTTATAAGCTGGTATTTTCTTAATTACAAAATTTAAAAATGTGTAAAATTGTATAAAAATAACCAAAGTAAAAATTTTGTAAATAATAAAATTCGTTAACTATATTTGTAATATATTAATATTATAAATACATATTGATATAGCATTTAATATACTTTATTGTTAGCGTGAACGGTAATAGAAAATTTACATGAACCCCAAATTGCATCTAACAATTAATAAGCAACACGAGTTGGTTGGTCAGCCACGTGGTAAATGAAAATTCCGCCTGAATCCATCTCCCTTTATCGGCTTCTACACCTACACACAAATGCGTAAAAGATGCGATGCGCTAGCCAATCAATGGCCGCGTTCAGCAGAGAAAGCGCTCAGTTATCGTCTTGTCAACACTTGACGTTGATTCGTTGGTTCTAAATGTAAGAACCAATCATATTCGATTGCTACTAAGCGGTTTTCTCTGCTGAACGCGGCCAATCTTACGCTCTTACGGAAAAGCTGTAAGTTGATTGGCCATGGCGTCGTTTCTTGCCACGTGACGTGGTGTGTACAAAAGTTATATATATGTATTCAATCTCATTGATGGGAAACAACACACCTGCATTATATTTATACATTTATCTACGCTTAACGTTCGGAGATTGATTAATATATAATCTGAAATACTGTATTGAACAAAAACTTGGATAATTTTTCTTTCGAAAAGAAAAGCAAGAAACAAAAAGATGGATTTTCTGGAATATCCGGACATTTTTGCCGAGGTTAAGGGCACTATGGTGAGAACTCTTAATTTTTATATTATTAAATAAACATTAGAATCCTAATTTGCTTAATATGATTAAGAAGCGAGAAGTTTTTATTTTATTACGTGAAATTCGCTAATATTAAACATGATTGATTACAATTCTGGTCTTTTAAGTTTGTTGAGAATATGCGAATCGTTATTTTAGTAATTATTACACTATGTAATTAAAAATAGATTTTTCTTTAAAATATACAAATAATGATTCGTAAAATTATTTTTAAAATTATTTTAATGATTAAATGATCATATGATCGATGGAATCGTTTTCTATCATTATCAGACACCAGGTAGATTAAAGTTGACCGACCAACACCTGATCTTCAAGAATCAGAGGACTGGTAAAGTAGAACAGATTTCTGCTTCTGAGATGGAGATGGTAAATTATCAAAAATTTATTGGAACCTGGGGCTTGCGTGTTTTTTTAAAAAATGGTACTCTGCATCGTTTCAAAGGCTTCAAAGAAGCTGACCAGGAAAAGATTGCCAAATTCTTTTCTGTCAATTATAAGAAAGATATGTTGGAAAAGGAATTGAGTTTAAAAGGTTGGAATTGGGGTACCGCAAAATTTACGGGATCTATCTTGAGCTTCGATGTAGGTCATCACACTGCTTTCGAAATACCTCTGTATGATGTATCACAATGTAATACGGGAAAGAATGAAGTGACCTTAGAGTTTCATCAGAATGACGACGCTCCGGTCAGTCTAATGGAGATGAGGTTTCATATTCCTGTTAGTGATAGTGTCGACCAAGACCCTGTCGAAGCATTCCATCAACAGGTAAGAGAAGATTTATTTAAATAATGAGCGAATATACTCACATACTTTTAATTCAATAAAAAGAAAAATAATTTATTTATCATTCTTAATAGGTGATGGATAAAGCATCTGTGATCAGTGTGAGTGGCGATGCGATTGCTATATTTAGAGAGATTCACTGTCTAACGCCACGTGGTCGTTACGACATCAAAATCTTCCAGTCTTTCTTTCAACTGCACGGCAAAACTTTTGACTATAAAATTCCCATGTCAACTGTCTTGAGACTTTTTCTATTACCACACAAGGATAGTCGGCAAACGTTCTTTGTCGTGAGTCTGGATCCTCCCATAAAACAAGGTCAAACGCGATATCACTATCTGGTTCTCCTGTTCAATCAAGAAGAGGAGACCTCTATCGAGCTTCCATTCACTGAAAAAGAGCTAAAAGAAAAGTACGAAGACAAACTAACGAAGGAATTAACAGGACCGACATACGAAGTACTTGGCAGGGTTAGTAAAACAAGAGATTAAAATCACGCTTTTTTTTCTAATATTTACATCTTTATTTTAACATTATGTTATTTGTTTCGGCTAGGTGATGAAAGTAATTATTAACCGGAAGATAACCGGACCTGGACATTTCTTGGGTCATACGAAGACACCTGCGATTAGCTGCTCTTTCAAAGCCGCAGCAGGATATTTGTATCCGCTCGAACGAGGTTTCATCTACGTGCATAAACCGCCAATACATATTCGTTTTGAGGAAATAGCTTCGGTAAATTTTGCGCGCGGTGGCGGTTCGACCAGATCTTTCGACTTCGAGATCGAACTTACGAGTGGTGTAGTTCACACTTTTAGCAGCATTGAAAAAGAAGAATATGGTAAATTGTTCGATTTCATTACGTCGAAGAAACTTCGTGTTAAGAATCGCGGCAAGAGTGACAAACCTAAATACGACGAGGACTTTGGGGACAGCGATCAAGAGGATGAACCGGATGCTTACTTGGCGCGAGTCAAAGCGGAGGCGCAGGAGCGGGACGGTGAAGAAAACCAAGATTCCGAGGAAGGCTCGACTGATGAAGATTTCAATCCAAATCAAGACGTAAGTGATGTTGCCGAAGAATATGACAGTAATCCCAATAGTTCCGACAGCGACGAAGACTCGGATGCGTCTGAGGCTAGTCATAAAAAGGAGAAGAAAGAAAAGAAAGAAAAGAAATCTAAATCGGCAAAAACAATATCAGAAAAGCCGCGCAAGCAGAGGAAATCGAAAAAAGATAAGGACGCAAATAAACCGAAGAGACCTGCAACGGCATTTATGTTATGGCTTAACAATACACGCGAAAGTATTAAGGCGGAGAATCCGGGAATAAATGTAACAGAAATCGCGAAAAAGGGAGGTGAAATGTGGCGAGAGCTCAAAGATAAATCAGAATGGGAGGCGAAGGCAGCTAAGGCTAAAAAAGAATACGCGGCATTAATGAAGGAATACGAAGCAAGCGGAGGCGGTAAACCTAAAGAAAAGACGGAAAAGACGGGAAAGACGGAAAAGACGGAAAAGACGGAAAAGAAGAAGAAGGAAACGAAGAAAGAGTCCCCTAGCAAAATGATGACTGGCTCGTCTTTTAAAAGCAAAGAATATATCAGCGATGATGATAGTAGTAGCGACGAGAGCAAAAAGTCCGGAAAGAAGAGTTCTGATAATGAAAGCCGAGAAGGAAAGAAAGAGAAAAAAAGTGAGAAGCGATCCAAGGAAGACGAAAAAAAGGCAGTAAAGAAGAAGAAACGAAATCAGTCAGACAATGAAGAAAGCGACGCGGAAGAACCCATTGAGAGCACTCCGCCTTCATCCGACGCGGAATCTAAAAATAGTGATTAATAAATGCTAAAGTATTCAAATCAATATTTTCTTTCATCTGTTTACATATACCGATGTTCATTTAGCGATTTCAAAATTTGCACCATTAAAAATTCTTTGATGAAAGTAAATGACTTTACACTTACAAGAAGATGAGCGGGATTAATATTACATATGTGTAGTATCCATTAATATTTTAATTATGAAGTAAAATATTAATAAGATCTGAATATCGAAACAAACGAATTATTGTTACTAATTTTTCAAATTTCTATTCTCTCAAACAAATATACTTTTTCTCATTAATGAAAAAATTATGTAAAGGAAATTTTTTTTTTCTGTGTAAGGGTTCTTATTTCCGTCTTATTCTCTCTCAGTAATTATTTAATACATAAAAATATTTTCTTTTTATAATTAAAATTGTTTCTTTACACATTTTTCTCTCCACACAATCTAAGAGCTAAGAATTTAATAAAACGTTTGCACAAATTAAACAAATAATTAAATTTATTTCATAGCACACATATGCATTATACAATTTCTTGTGAAATATATATTTTAATATTTAATGCTACGAATGAAATCTATAAAATATTCAGTTTAAAACTCTATCAATTATTCGGTAGCAATACATATAATAGTCTAATTAATCATTGTTTCATAAAAAAAAAAAGTAGAAATAACATTCAAAATATTTGCACTCCTATTGTTAACAACTTTTAAAGAAGATACGTAGGAACCAAGTACATGTGCACATTTTCTTGTCAACTATGTGGTTTCTTTTCCCTTTCAGTTTCTAAATAATTCGTCTCTATCTCTTTAAACTCAATGTGCTGCTCTTTCATGGCCTTCTAAAACATGAGAATGCATAAAATTATTACACATATGTTGTCTTTTGTAAGCTGTATTTACAATTTTAATAGGTTTTTATCAAACATTCAGCAGTTTACACAAGAATTTGATCTGCGAGAAGGGAGACTCGTAAAACTTACCGCTACACAATCTTTATAGACTTTAAGCAAGGAGGCACATACTGAATCATTGGTATCGCCTTTTAAAAACTTTTCAGAGAACCAACTATTAAAACAGGCATCGTATTTCTGTTTTAACTCACTGCAATGCTCCATGTTGCACTCTTGCTTTCTCTCCCTCTCTCAGTTTCATGCGTTACACGTTTGCAGATTTCCTAAAGATACAAGCAAGATACAATTTGGTTCTAATTACCTTAATACACTGCTGATACATTTTGAATAAATGCGAGCATGTGCTGTCACTCGGTTCACCTTTCAAGAATTTTTCAGAAAACCACATGTGGAAACAAGAGTCATACTGTTGCTTCAGTTCATTGCACGTCTCGCCTATGCTGTTCATGAATAAGTATACTGCTCTGAAATCAATTCGCATCAGGTGAAATTTATAAATTTTGAAACTTGGATATAAAAAATGAGAACATGTAATCTTAAATAGATTAGAAAAGTTGCAAGCGTAGAGAGCGCTTCCTAATCTTAACGAAAATTCGTAAAATTCAGAGATGTTACACTCTGCAATACTCACTCGCAGCGACGAATCTCACAGCAAGGATACTTGAATTTGATGGACAAAAAATTATGCTGAATAATCGTACTCTTGGATTATGCCGGTTACAAACGGCGTGACATTTTTCTCTTTTCGATTCGATTAGGTTATCGAACGAAATAGCAATTGGTTTTATTTGATGTAAAACTTTTATGGAGAATCTATATATATATTCACTATCCGACCGGCCAATCCGGTAAGTTTGTCGTATGCAACGATGTTGCCTTTGACCTTGTTTCGTTGCGTATTGGTTTTGAAGCAAAAGCGCGAAGCGAAAACGCATGTACCGAGAAATCCGAAAATATTGGGAGAGGGGGATGTCAGCCAATGTCAGATCAGATATGTCAAGTGTCAAACTGTGCATCATCGTTATCAATTATTATTATTAATTGCTATATCGTCAGAATGAGGATGCTTGATGTATCGTAGTGCAATCTTCATTATTTAATATGATATCGCCATTCGGACGTGTGACATTGTCATTGTTGTGAAATCAACATATTCGAGATCCTATAATTTCTTTAGATTACAGAACACACTTACAATTAATTCAATGTCGTCATTGATAAACTCCTGATACGATAGCTGCTAGCTTTAATCGTGTAGCGATGAGTAGCAAGCATAGTCCAGGAAAAATTACACTGGGGATGATGAAAGGTAGGTTGGAAAAATAGATGTTAACAATTCAAGCTTAATATTTGTAACAAATATTAAGCTTGAATGTATAATATAATTTTCTAAATCTTTTATTATATGTTCGACTGATTTTTGCACTGTTTTTTTTAAAGGCAAGCCAATTGCCACATCTGTACCAGTGATTCATTATCGAGCTAATGACGACGAACTAGAGGAGCTATATCCAAGCTCCTCCGATGAGGAAAAACGTGTCACTTCGGAGTCTGATAAAACAAGACTTCCATCAAGCCCTTCCAAAGGTAGTGAAAATGGCCAAGGATTGGAGAATGGATCGGAGAGACGTTCGACAGATGATAATATATCTGAGGGCACTCCTCCATCTTCAGATCCATGGAAGGTGTTGTCCGAGATCAAACGAAATATTACAAAGACATTTGAAGAGAAACTTTCTGAGATAAAAAGCGATAAAAAGAAGAAAAGATTTAACAAAGATAATTCCAGTATTAGTGATTCAGAGGATCCAGGAGATGTTACGCCAATTGATGAGAATGTCAATGAAAAGCAAGAGAAGGAATCAACTTTATCTGTTGCTCGCAATAAAAGTACTGCTGCGAGATTCGTCGGCTTTTCGCAAGTGAAAACTGGTTTAAAAACCAAAAACTCTCAGGATGAAAGTGTAGAGAGTGGTGTAGAAGCCGCTGAATTTTCCGAATCTACTCCTGAGCAGCCACTTTTTGAATCCCAAGATTGTTTTCGCATCAAGGATAAAAGAAACGATATTACGTGTCATCGAAATCTCTTCAACCAACCAGATGGATGCATTCAGATGAAAGAAGAAATAAAATTTAGTACATTGCTTTTTCATATGAAGGATCATGTATTTCAATTGACAAAGCAGTTAGCTGCACTGTTTATCCTTATGTTTGCTTTCTGCTTTATGATTCCATTGCCTCCACACTTGGTTGGTTTCTCTATAGGAGTATTTGCCACGGTAATAATATACAAATTAATACAAAGGATCAAGGAAATTTTAGCAACACCTTTAAATGAAGAGCCTGCGCATGTGGTGGTTCCTGTATTGGAGATACCAGCAGTGGAGGAGCATGCAGTCCAAGAAAGATATGAAGGATGGTTGAACGAGTTGCCATATATCTATGATCCCCATAACTATCATGTGGCACGCACAAACTCAGTTTTCTTTAGTCTGGAAGGTGGAGTGCTGCGTGTTATGGAGACTAGAATGAAAGTACCAAAGAGAGCAGTGTGGGATGAGCCTAAACGAAAATTTAAATTTATTAGGAAACGTGTGTATAATCTTATTGGTGCAAAGATAGAATTGTTACCAGAAGGACTCATTCGGAGAAGGTAATCACATCATATATATATATATATAATAAATTTTTTATACATAGAATAAAAGTATTTTTAATACACAGGAGATGGAGCAAAAAATATCCAATTTGTATTACAATGGATCCAGGAGCGTTAATAGAGGTTATGAACGATACAAATATTGGAAAGGAGTCCTTCGAGGATGAGAAGAGAACTGCTTATACGGAAGGAGTTAATCAAGAAGTCGAGGAAAATACCTTGGGCGAGGACACAAAAAGTGAAGACGAAGATTCTAGATTTGAATTCCTTAAAGATAATGAAGAAGATGAGTTAAAAATCGATGAAGATGAAGATGATGACGATCTTTCGCAATCCAAGTCCTTAAGAAGTATTTACGAGGACTGTCGCGACAACGAAGAAATTACCAAATGTAAACTTTATGTATTCGCGCGTGCCGACCGAGAGAAGGAAGATTGGTAATATTTCTTTGCAACAAAATATTTTTTAAATCAATCGAAATAATTAAGAAAGGCTTTAATCAAATTTCTCAATTCTCAAAATATGATTTGGAACTTAAAATTTCTTCATCATAAAATTTTAATTTAAAATGACCTTTTAGGTTTCGAAGATTGGTATCAGCAGCATCTTTTTCGAAAAAACGGCATTCAACTTGTTCCATAAACGATTGCGCATCCTGCACGAATGCAATCTCTGTGCCGGATGTGGCAGAAGCAAAGTTGCTCGAGAATCCCGAAATCTCCTATAACAGCTATATGAGCAAGTACCTGAACGTAAGCGATGCGAAAATCAAATTAACTTCAGAATCTTTTTAATGCTGACAGAACGATTATCTTTTAGGTGGATCCTGAGGGTTCTCCAAAGGAAGATGATGTTCTCTGGGTAAACTGTCTCCTGGAACGACTACTGTTCGACATGCACAGTTGTCCAGAGACAATTAATCTTATTCAGGACAAAATACAGCGTAAACTCTCTAATATAAAACTTCCATACTTCATGGAGAGCCTTCTCGTAACAGAAATAATGATCGGACAGAATGCTCCAATGATTCATAAAATTACTAAGCCGGTACTCGATGAACGCGGGCTTTGGTTTGATATGAATATTACCTATAAGGGTTGTGTGACAATGATTGTAGAGACAAAGCTGAATCTAATGAAACTGACGCGTGCAAGTAGTGTTTCCGGTGAGATCAACGAAAAATCTATTCCTACCAGATCACCGATATTCGACAGCGATGTAGAAGATAGTCCAGAGACATCCACGGAAGACGAAGATATCGGAAATGTCGCATCGTGTGTCACATCCAAAGACGCCACGTAAGTGAATTAATAAATTAAATTGAGTGTTTTAATTTATAACTCGCTTCTCTCGTCTCTGTTTAGTCATATGGCAGTAATCTTTAATGTATCTTTAAAAAATGCGTTCTTTCTTATATTAAGAATATATTAATAAAGTACACAAAGTTTAATTCTTTGCGATCAAATGTCATAATATATGCTCTTATCAACTAAGCTCCATTAAACATCTTAAAAATTTTTCGTAAAGAAATCCGTGATTAATAGACTATGTAATAATTTGCGAAAAGATTAATTAGATTTTCACATATTACAGACCGATCCAATCTTCTGGCAAGAAATTCCTTAGCATGGTCGATAAGCTAGCAGCCAACAAATATTTCCGACATGTAAGCAAGTGATTTTTAATTATGTTTATGTTTAATTTGTTATTTTATTAATAATTATAAAAAAAATTATAAAACTCATTAGCTCATGCTGATTTATTGAATAATTTTTAGGCTACTGAGTTATCCTATATACGAAGAGCAATGGAGGGTGTTTCCAATACAGAGATCCGCTTCACGGTTAGCATATCCGGCATCGAGGGTTGTCTTTTAGTAAACATCCCTCCACCACCCTCTGATCGACTCTGGTACGGTTTCAAGCCCGTGCCCAAAATCACTCTTACTGTGCAGCCAGCCCTTGGGGAAAGGACCGTCAACATTGTATATGTGACCAAATGGATTGAGAATAAGCTGCTCAGGGAATTCGAAAAACTGGTAGTTCTACCAAATATGGACGATCTAGTTTTGTCACTCAGCCCAAATTATCCATTTGTTGTGGCGTAGACAAATGATATGTCAGCCAAAACAGTTTTCTGCTTTTACATTACTTTTTTTGTATATGGTTTATAAACAATATCTCACACACACACACACATCGCTCGTGTAATTGAGGAATGGATTTTTTCTCATCAATACGAGAATTCATCAAAATTCGCAAGTAGAAATCTATGAAAAAATTAGGAGATTGTCAGATGACAATGATGTAGGTCTTTAGCTCTATTTTTACAAGATTTTTTAATATTACATTATTTTTCTTGCAAAAAATATTTTATTAAGTATATACAGTATTTACAAGAAAGTGAGAAGAATAATTGTGATATATCATTTTAGTAATGTTATCTTTATATTTATAAAATTTAATGAAAAAAGAGACGGGAGAGAAAAAAATCATATTATGAGGGAGCATTATTTTTATTAGAATATGTAAAAAAAAGATGTAGCGAGCAAGAGACGCACGGGAAAGCAAGGCAATTTAATTAATGTTTAGTTAAGTGCGATACTCGCTGCAGATTGTTTAATTATATAACTATAAATATCACGAAACTAATGCCGCGCCACATCCTAGGTAAACAAAAATACTATTATCAATGTCTATGTGATCATACAATTAGTCATTTAACACAGGCAGCTGATGCAGAATATTTTAAAATTATTATTAAAATATTGTGAAATAATTGAATTAACTACAGTGAAATTAAATAATCGGTTATTGTGAATGAATAAAATGGGCAAAATTGTCAATATATGAAACGAAATACAAACATTCGCATGGCAATAGAACTTTTTGGGCCGTGATATTTAGAGACTCGTAATATAATCGAGCAAACATAGTTGATCGACAAGATGTGTAGAAAAAGAAAGTATACGATGTTAATATCGCTTATCAAAATCGACCGCGTTTATTTTAAGCGCGGCGCCCAAAACATATTAACTTTGTATATACGACTGTTGACATAGATATATATATATATATATATATATATATATATATATATATATATATATATATATAGAGTATTTTAATCACACACACATTGCGCACATTCTCTTAACAGATATTAAATTTTATTCTCATATTAAATCCAAGATATTGATAATTAAATTACAAGAAATCTAAGAGATTAAAAAAAGAATCAACCTTGAGGAAATATAAATAGATAAATAGATAAAATCTTTGTACATGATCTCACAAGAGTAAATTTTATTTCAATGAAAACTAATATGCAAAGATCAAATATTATATCATTAAAGATGAAAGAGTCATGAATATAAGAGGGTTTTAACGAAGGTTTAAACAAAATTTTTGTTTTAAGGGAAAGTACGCAATTTCTGAGCTATTCTGTATATAATAATTCTTTTGCTCTCTGGAACAAATATTAGAGCAAATATGCTTTCTATTTTCTCGTGCACGTTTTTCCACGTTTTTCTTAATGCAACAAATAATATCACAGTTTGGAGATCAACAGTCTGACAGTTGCATGCTACGTACACCAAGAATAATGTTCTTTATGTATATAATACTCTCGTATATGGCTAAATTGGCAGTTTTTCGACATGGCATTGTTACCACAGTAATTTTGTATAGATTTTTAGTTTTGCAACATAATAGATACTCGTACCTGCTATTTAGTTTACAGGTCTTTACAGCTTTCTGAAGAAAATTTTAAATCGTATTGGCTAGCTGTTGAGGACGCAGGGCGCGGTATCCATCTCCCGTACAATCTGTTCCCATGTCTCCAGCCTAGGTGCGCACACCAAAATGAGGTCACCGAGACGTCGCTTGGCCATTATCACAAATTCGCCAGGGCCATGTCGCGCGTCACACACCACTGGTATTCTCACGCGTATGCTTCTCTTAGAAGAGGCTGGTATGTCGATGTTCTCGTTATTCTGTCAATATACATCATATTTTATAATTTAGTTTGTATGTTATAGAGATTTAAAAAATCTAAAATCGACGTTATGTTTCATCTTATAAAGCTCATTACCTCGGCTTCCTGAACTTGGCGTAGAATCTTGGTAATCCTGAGCACCAATTCGGCAGCGTCTAGATGAAGCTGCTGTTCAACGGCAGTGACAGTGCCTGTAGCAACCAAGTCGCTCTGACAATAAGCATTGGCAAGTTCTTCCATGGAACATGGTCTGCACTCTTCTTCTTCATCTGGAATATGCAGTGCACCACCTTTCGGTGAATTTAATTCCAGATCGTACTGTAGCTTGACCTTTGTGCTTTTAAAGGAATAATCATCCTCCGCTTCCATGTAAAGTGCGGCCATGTGCTCCCGTGAGCGAAAGCATCGATGCGAATACTCGTGTTTGCCATCAGATGGAGAATAGATTTGCCTCAACTTGCGGCCAGCTTCTAGAAACACTCGTGCAGGTCCAGAAATCTTAACGCATGTACGAAAACCCAAACTGCTGAGATTGACAGGAATGTTTCTCGTGGACGAAGCCGGGAAAGAGAAGACCACTCTCAGAGCACCATGAGGATAACGCCATAGTACGGTGCCTCGAGTACAGCGTAGATATACAGGTCGGACACCACCGCTTTCTCCTCCTCCGCTATGCAAAAAAAGGTGTACATATTTCAGTGACATATTCTTACAAATATATCGAGATTACAATAACAATATTAAACTATACATTACGCATAACATTAATATATGAAGAAGTTAAAGTATACTAAAATCTTTTTTATAGAATATAAATAATGACGAATGAAAAAATTTACAAAAATATATTTTTATTCTACCAGAAATTTAAGTTACATTAGTTGTATGTACTAAAATTGTGAAAGTTAAAATGTAGAAAGAAAATCATGATAATAGAAAGGCACTAACCTTCCAGACCAGTCGCATTGATCCGCAATGGTATGTTCGTAGGCGGATACGCTGACAAAAATCAGACTAAGAGCAACAATTATCGCACGTAACATTTTCAATATATACACACTATATAACAATCGGTATAAGCACGTCACATGTTTGATGTCACGAAGACGCCTCCGCGAAAGTCGGATCGCGATAAAATTCCTTTTTTCGAATTAAGTACTCGAAGAATAATCCTTTTACTCGTTTCTACAATATCTTAATTAAGAACGTGTTATCATCATTTAAGAGTTTTCCTGGAAAAGTCTCAACTGAATCAGAATTCATTGACTAAAGACGTTCATGAAGTATTTCGACACCATTTTTCCAGATGGTTACTCGATGAACGGCGAACAATCGTGCGAGCTACGACACTTAGAAAAAAAATTTCGACTTTCTTGCAAAAGATACGTAATGTCCGCGGGAAAGATAAAGTAGTACTGTATGGTATTGTACCGCGTACGGCAGTCACGAGTCCGAATATGCATACGAAGAGCGTAAACATAATCTCACAATCGTCCTCGTTATGGACCGCCCACCGAGAACCTCGCTGAGTTCTCCACGAGCGCACTACGCATTTTCTTCTGGCGCGAACTGAGTCTAATTAGCACGTCGCAAAAACGTGTTCCGACGAATGCACATACAGCTTCTTTTATTTAAGCTTCCTCTATTTTATGTCCTGGAAGATTTTCCCTCGATCCTCAGACTTACTTCAACGGCACATGCACAGAAGAAAAATATCGTTGCGTCCTCTCTTTCACTCGCTCTCTCACTCCGATGTGGTCACATGGCAAAAATGCTAGTACAGGCTCCAAGCTGACAAGCTTTCCCCGTTCGAGATAGACTTAGATTCAGCTAGATTAAAACTATTTAGCAATACTCTGAGTCTTTACACGGATTAGTCACGTATATGATTTCTTATTCCTTTGTATTCGATCGCTATACGATTAATCTACACATATGTTGTGTATATTCAAAAAAAAAAAACCAATTGTTTTATCAATCGGATCACAAAAATATCGTTTTCTTAACTTTGCTCAAAATTTCCTCGTCCGCTCGTCCATCCTTTGTTCATCATTAAATCTGACACCATATGGCTAGATCAATTTATCTTTGTGACTGTTTAGCACGCCTTATTATATCCTTAAAGAATTAGTTTTATGTAGTACAGGAGAGAGCAAAATACATACGTACACAAATATATATATTTTTTTTTTACCGTAAAGAAAAAGAGGAAGGAGGATCGACGAGACCGTTACGAGACAGGATGCATTTGTCTAGGAGTTGGGTCAGATATTCGAAAGGATCGTAGGGTCGGCGTACCAGAAGATCGCCCATCAAAAAATCGATGATATCAGGAATCCTCTTTTCTTTCAGATACAATATTGCTTCTTGCTCTCGCATGTTTTGCGATGTGCAATGATTGGCGTCAGTTTTACAAGGAACATCGCGTGTCTCTCGTTCTGAAAATGAATTTGATTAATCGTCCCGGTGAATGGATTAGATGCTATCTCTTATCCTCAATAATCTAATAAGATAGAAAAATCATTGCTCTCCTAGATGCCTACGTGCCCGAGTTTTGCTTGGGATCAAGCTAGACTCAATGCAATAATTATTTTTATTCATTTCGAAACCTGTATCAATATGTATCCAATCATGACTGATCATGTCCAAAAAGTAGTCCAAAACAAATGATGTTTCAATTTGTCGCTATTGGGGAATTTATTAAAATTCCTATCACACACCACCTGACAAAGAGTTGTGTTCGTCTTGACGGTGTAAGTGCTGAAAGCATTGGATTGACCAATCAGGATAAAAAAAATCTGTCGATTTCATGCGATATCGGCTTTGTTGTATTTATGTGATCTTTTTGCGATGTATCCAATTACGATGACGGTCAATGACGGCTTTTTGATTGTTATTCGATATTATTAAAGTTGCAGTCTTTGTCTTAACGAATTTGTTCACTAAATTATATATATTTAATTCTTTTACATTTTTTTTATTGTATATAATAATAGTGTTAAGTAAGTAGCTTGAAATATATATAAATACCTTGTATACATATGAAAATTTTTCCATCTGCTCAGCTGTTTTTGACACAATTAAATTGACACAATTCTATTAAGTTTTTTACAAGTTAATTATTAAATAATAGTTAATTATGCAATATAATTAACATATTTTTAATTTCTTTTTAGAGAGAATATGGCTGTGATAATGCTATTCAGTAGAAGTACGTGTGTATTTCGGCAGAATCCACAATGTAAACTTTTGTTAGTCAATGCACTTCATACTCCAGGATATAACAGTTATGGAAAAGATAGACACAAGTATGAATACAAGCAGACTCGTAATTTTAAAAATTTTGGTCATACCAGAAAAAAATCTAGCTTTATCGCTGCTCTACCAGTTGCAATTCCCAGCATTGGACTGTTTATATGCATGACCATTGATTGGCAACGGTGAGTCAATGCTATTAAATATAAAAAATAACAAATATTAAATATTATGAAGACATATAAGAGAATAATTTAAATAATTCTCGAAAATTATATTTTGCTATATAGTATATTAATATAAAGTATTATCTTGCAGGCTACTTAATATAGTACCTAAAGTGGAGGCAGCCAGTATCTTAGTGGAGGAGACTCAGGATAATGGAAACATAGAACATGGAACGGAGCAGGATTTACAGAAGAAGAAGAAAAATAAGAGAGAGAAGATTGGATTTCGCGATAGAAAGGTTTATTGAACACTTACACTATTGATATTGATTTCATATATATGTGTTAAAGTTGTTCAAAATAATTTCAAGAATATTGAACAAATTCCCACATGCATTATATAAGATATTTGTGTTTACATTATTTATATCGCACAAGTTGTATTTTTATTATTAAAAGAACAAAAGATATAGACTCGTATCATTTTTCTTGACGAAATATATAGATATAAAAATTGTATAATTATGCAATAAAATAAGGAAAAGGGGCATACAATATGCAGCAGTCATTTTTGTATATATTGTTAAACACAGTAATAGTACTGCAAATTTAACAATTTTATGCTTTATTTACATTAGCATGTATCTGTATAGCAGAACGATGCAGGCTGAAGTGTTTTTGCAGATAATAGAATACGAGAACAGGATAAGGGCGTATTCAACGCCAGATAAAATTTTTCGTTATTTTGCAACTGTGAAAGTGACTAGCTTAGAAGGTATGGAAATCTATATGACACCCGATGATTTTCTGCGGGCTATCACACCAAACATGCAACAGCCAGATGGTAGGGCTTTTCAAAATTTTTGTCATATTAGCGTTAATGCGATATATAATCTTGGAGTCTAATTGTCTTCTTATCTATAATAATTTATACTAAATCTTACTAAGCACTACTTATACTTGTCTCGCTCTGCTAACCGAAAGCTTTGTTATCCTATATGATATGACTTGCATGAAAATTCTTATGTAATAATCAAGTAAGAAAATTGCTGATTATCGAAATTGAACGTGGATTACTAGAGCGTATTGTGCACTACTAATTCTCTGCAAAAATTTTGCATACTTTTGAAACCCGCGATTATCAACTAACTGTGTGTATGCGCAGATAATAGAATACGAAAATCGTATAAGGCATTACTCCACACCGGACAAAGTGTTCCGTTACTTCGCGACCCTCCAGGTCACGAGCAACGACATGCACGAGGTGTTTATGACGCCGGATGACTTTTTAAGATCAATGACGCCCGGCGTGAAACAGCCCGATGGTAATCCTATACGATTATGCTTCGCTTGGCACGCAGTACTTCCAATTGATTACAAGACGTTGCGTTGCGATCCCCCACTTTTTTTGCATGTGCAAATTCAATTAACATTTTAAAGAGAATAATTATATTCTAGATAAAATTATAAAAAAAATTGTGATTATAATTTGCAGATTATAATTTTCCAGAATTATATATTATATTTATATTAATTTATATAAAAAATATAAAAAAAGGAAACTATTAATAATTATAACATCATTGACTTGTAGGCCTTGGACTAGACCAATACAGACGTTACGATCCAAAGGTATATTAACAAGATTCAGTAAAGAAGAAACATGTATTCCTATGTGACAATATTTTTTTTTCTTTTAGAATATTCACACGAAATTAGAATTAGAATTGGACGAAGACAGCATCTTCTACAAGCTTGGCAGTGCAGGCCTCATTACTTTCTCCGATTACATCTTTTTGTTGACTGTATTATCAAGTAAGCTCTATGTCCACTATTTCACATTAAATTTTAATTATGTATACGAGAACATAAAGAAATTTATGTTTAAATATACGTATTAATTAAACTTTCTATAATATACATAAATATTAGATTTTAATGGTAAAATTTTATTTTGCAGCCTCCAGACGTCACTTTGAAATTGCCTTTAGAATGTTCGACTTCAATGGAGACGGTGACGTCGATTCCGAGGAGTTTGGAAAAGTGGCTACATTGATACGGCAACAAACTAGTATAGGCACTCGACACCGTGATCACGCAACCACAGGAAATACATTTAAGGTCATAAAAAACTTATTAATATTTGAATTAAGTTTGCAAAAAATGATAAATATTAAATGCGTTATTAGCTCTTGAATTATGTTTAAATTATGTGTTTAAAAACTCTATTGAAAATAATTTAAATCTTTTTTATTTCATTCAGGGAGTGAATTCCGCGCTAACTACGTACTTCTTTGGGCCACAAATGAATCAGAAGCTAACCATCGAGAAATTCCTGGACTTTCAACAACAACTGCAGCGGGAGATTCTGAGTCTTGAGGTAAGAATCAATCAGAATTGGCATGATGTACAATCATCAATTTAATATTCTCATTTATATTTGATTATTTGATGTATGATTATATACATATTTTCCTGCTTAGTTCGAACGACGAAATCCGGATGAGGATGGCAATATTACTGAGGTAGATTTTACGGAATTACTTTTGGCTTATGCTGGATATTCAGCAAAAAAGAAGGCGAAAATGTTGAAAAGAGTGAAGAAGACGTAAGTATATGGAAAGTTTTTTAATTTTCATTCTTAAATTTTAAATTATTACATACTTAAATATCGATTGTTTACAGTTTCAAGGAAGATCCGAAAGGGATTAGCAAAGAGGAATATCTTAAATTCTTTCACTTTTTGAACAACATTAACGACGTAGATACAGCTTTGACATTCTATCATATAGCCGGCGCGTCTATCGATCAAGGTACGATATGGAATAATTTAGAATAATTATATAAATATTCTCTTTGAAGAAACTTGTTGACATTTATTCATAAATATTTATGCATAATATTGCAGCGACATTGAAACATGTAGCAAAAACTGTAGCGCACGTGGATCTGAGTGACCATATTATTCAAGTGGTATATACGATTTTCGACGAAAACAGTAAGTTGACTTTTACTGATAGGGTGCTATCTAATTCATAGACTGTTAAAAACGTGACTGCATTATCTGTGATATAATATATAGATATGAAAAATACATTTTGAGTAGTAAAATTATTCAGATATTGCGGATTTTGTTTTTTATAGTGGATGGACAACTTAGCAATCGGGAATTCGTCGCTGTGATGAAAAACCGTGTTCTGCGTGGTTTGGAAAAATCGAAGGATACTGGATTTGTCAAGTTAATTCAATCTTTGATAAAGTGTGCAAAAAATAGCAATCTCCTGTCATACGATAAATAAGTAAAGCCACATATAAAACCTAAATGCTAATTAATTTATATGTATTTAATTTATTGATTGTAATATATATAGAAATATAAAAAATTGCTATTCTTAACTAGAGATTATAACATTTATAATAGAATCGTTATGTTGATATTTGTAGCTTATATTATTATTAGGAGAGAGTTAGAGATTTATATTATAGCAAATTTTACATTAATGATGTATTGTATTAGTCCACTTTCACTATTCTATGAAATAGAGCATGAAATATCAGCCAAAAAAAGCTCGCGAGATATAGGAGCTACAATTTTACCCATTCAGTAAGTATTCAGCGTTTATTCAGCAAACATCGACAGAACTTGTCTTGTATTGCAAATTTCAAGTTGGATTGTTAAATATAATAATGTATACGAAATATACTTTCAATTTATTTCTGGTGCAAACAGTGATAATACTGCTTGTTATAAATTCTGTCACGGCCAATTTATTGAAAAAACTTACAGAAATGACTTTAGCAGGCAAGTAGTATGTCAAATGTGAATCGTGATTCAATCGTATTGTATCTTACAACGATACATATATTATTTTATTTTAATTATGATATCAGATTCACAAGTTGTAAATAAAGAAGAGCCTTCAAAACAGGAAATAGCAGATGTTTCAATAGGACAATATTTTCAGTGAGTAATATATTTATGCAAGATGATAATTATTTGCAACGTTTTGATAATATTAAACCTATATAAAATGCAGAGATATATTTTCTGAACATCTTGCACCTCTTAAAATTGAGTTTGGTCATGTCTGTGAGAATCCTAGTGAATGGGAACAAAGATTTGAACAAAGAGACTTTGATAATAATCATCATAGTGGCAAGGTAATTTCTTTTGAGTTAAGATTGTTTTAAGATATATGTTAGAAATGTATAAATATATTTCTTATTTAATATGAATCAATAATACTCTATTTATATAATGCATTTAATATTATATATATTTTGTATTTCATTGCTTCACATATTTTATTTTTTATAATATAGATTAAATAGTATTACTTATTTTTTTTTATATATGTTTTTGTTGAAATATAATTTATTTATAGTTTATAACTATATGGTTTTTGTTATATTTTAGATAAAATGGGGTGACAAAAATGGAAATTATGGCGAGCAGTATTGGGACTTGAATCATTAACTTTAATCGCGAAATTAATTGTTCATAAATAAATATTGATAATTTCTGTTTAATAATTCCTTATTTATAATTATTGTTACAGCTTACTTTTTAATAACATAATTGTCATAAAACAAAAAGATCTTAGCAGTAGAAAAAAAATTATAAATAACGAATGTTTTAAAAAAATAAAAATTTGTGAGACAAATAAAAAATTATAAATAAAGAAGTTGATATATTGAAAATGACTAATAATAAAATTTTAAAGTGGCCAAGTGATTTTGAACAATGAGAATTATTAAAAAGGAGGTGTATAAGCGTAAGCATCGGTGGTTCAGTGGTAGAATGCTCGCCTGCCACGCGGGCGGCCCGGGTTCGATTCCCGGCCGATGCAATCTTATTATTTTTATTTTTTTTTCATGCAAACGATCTTCTCTAATTCATTTGAGAATATAATATTTTTTATAATTTTTCGAAAAATATTTTAAATAATTTATAAAGATGTGAAGAAAAAAAAATATTTTGCATCGGCCGGGAATCGAACCCGGGCCGCCCGCGTGGCAGGCGAGCATTCTACCACTGAACCACCGATGCTTATACGAGATTCTCTTTTCTTACTTATCTAGTTACATTTAATACGGTAAAGAGACGAAGGAGTATCTTTCTATTCTTTATCAATGCAAAGGAAACAAATGAAAATGACCCGCAGTTTTCTATCTCTTTCTTAGGACAAATATTTGCAGCCAGAGTCTATCTTCACATGTCTGTAATCCCGCGGTAAACGATCATGGAAATTGTGGACAGACTGGCGGTATTTCCGACGTCCAGTTCGTATACGAGTGTGAAGTGTCGCTTGGTTTGCGCACGTAGAAGTCGCGATTTGCTCGCGAAAAAGGTCGACGGTCTCTTAATCCGATTTCGTGAGATTTTGTCGCGATTATTCGAAAATAAATCGCAACTCGGCGAAGTCATGAAGGTCGCAGCTTTTTCGTTAGCCGAAGTGAATTACGCGACAGGTGGCGTAAACGGGTTGGTCCTGGAGATGGTTGATAAAGCGAGAACCAGGATTCAGTGCAGACAGGAGATCATGGGCGGAGTTCGATTGAGGATTTACGAGCCCTACCGCAGCGGTGACGATCCTTTCGAATTCACCGGATTAGCCAGAGGCGGCCAACAAGTAATTATCGTATATACGTCATACGATAAGACACAAATGCTATACGATAAGACGATGCAATCTTTTTAATTTTATTGTTAACTCTATAACCGAAGATTAGTATACTAGCATAGTACTTAACACGCCAGCAGGTTGCTCGATTAAAGAAGAATTATGGAAAGGCGATCGATCTGCTGGTCGAATTGGCGTCGTTGCAGCACAATTTCCAGATGCTCGACAGGGTAATCAAGGCGACCAATCGTCGCGTAAATGCTCTGCACTACATCATTATACCGCGGTTAGAACGGACTCTTGCGTATATCGTCACCGAACTCGACGAATACGAGCGAGAAGAATTCTATCGCATTAAGAGGATACAAGAGTTGAAGATAAAGCGACATAACGGCAAATTTTCATACAATCCGATTCAAGATGCGGGTATATTCGATGATACGGACGTGGATCTCCTTTTTTGACGCTATTAGAAAAACAAGATTCTGCCACCGAGAACGCACGTTTGAATTTTCAGGAGGAAAAGAATCCGCACGTGTTATTGTTTACATTGTCTAATAAATTTCTCAACTACTCAGAGAAAGAAAAGGGGGATACGGCCACCCTGCAATAAATGCCGGAGCGCGCCAGACAACCGAGGAGAAAGCGCGATGACAGAACGAGATGGGAAACGAAAATCGGAGGGGGATTCGAGCGCGCTGCGGGCCCAATTATACCAAGAAAATACAGCCCATAAAACCAGCCTAACTGCTGCCAAACATCGGGATATGATAATGAGAACGTGACTGTTGCTCTTCCTTGCCTCCTAGCCCCGTAGATGGATCTCATAGATGTAGCAGCTGCCAAAACGAGAGAGAAATTTTTTCCTAAATTTCAACTGTCCTGTCAGACATTTTGCACTTGATTTTTACGCTAAATTAAGATAACTCACAACCGATATATAATTTATCTTTGAGAACAAGTTTCTTTATTATTTTTGACATATGTGTTCGTTCAATTATATAGATTTCCTTAAGTGTAACTCTTGCCATAAATTATATATATATATAATTTTATACATATTTGCTATTAGATACATATATGTAAAATATTAAATCTGTGTTGCATATGAAACGAGAAGTGATCGAATAGATCGATTCGATCGCTATACGGATAGGCGTGTACGCAAGCGGGACGGAAATCCTGACGGGCGGGAGAAATCAGAAGACCCTGTAAAGAAACAAACAAAGAAGGAGGGGATAAGCAGACGGGCGCGATCGTGGGTAAGCGTTTAGTCGTACGGAAACCTTCGACGAGGAAGGTTGCTTGCAAGTCAGTCTGATTAATTATCATTCGCGATGATTTGCCCGTGACATTATCGTAGCACGCGCGATCGTCTTCCGCGATTGACGATAGTGTGCATTTGAAGGAGACAACACGCGATGTTTCTATCAAGGAACGTGGCCGATTATGCAGCGTCCGCCTTTGTGATTCACTGCGCTGGAGCCAAAGTTGCGCTCCCGCACTCGTTTTGAACGCGTCGAAACGTGTGCCTTGTCACATGTCACGTTGAATTGTAACTAATTTTATTATTTCGACCATCTGCGTGCGTGTGTGTGCACGCGTCCATCCGTGCATAGGCACGTGCACGCTGGCGTTCACGCAAGTAATCCGTAAACTGTACCGTTTATGGAAAGAAAGCAACAAAATCTGTTTCGAAGCGATTAAAGCGGAAGTTTATTATTTAATAGATTAGTATGATTATATAGGTTGATAGTATAAAAAACAAATTATATATGTCGAGTGCAATTTATATCGCGGAGGACAGAGTGAAATTAAGTTATCGTGTCGAGAGATCTGGTTGTCCGGTCGTTGAATCTTGATTAAGTTGAATCCAAGGTCGAATCCGCACTGGAGAAAGAAGCCAATTAATCTCGTTTAATGCACAAACAAGTTAATTAAACTACTCGTTAAGTCAAGCTTGGATTTGACAGCTCTTTAAATGGAGCTGTGACAGGACCGTAATTAAGAAAAGGAAGAAGTTCCGATTCAATGAAGAGGGCAGAGTTATATCTTCATTAATTTAAAAGGCACGTCTCTCCGTATGTCTCTTAATTAAATTTCAATTTTTCAATTCAAATTTCATATCTTTTTAAGTATATTTCTTCCTCGATACGTTTTTATACTAAATTTCATTTTTAAAATAAGCACTTGTAAAGCGGAATTTCATTAAACATGTATTTATAAATTGTAAATTTTATCTTTCTCATTTTGTATTTTGTTTTATGCTTTTTCAGAGAGTCTCGAATTGACATCTACACGATGCACGACCGATACCTCGGTATGTCGATCGATCGGCGGTGGATGGCATATACGGCGCAAAGTTTAAAGTAGCCCTTACGATCGTAATTTTAAGAACGGAAAATGCGTTGGATCTTGTTGTTGACATTAGTGCGTGCAATATGGTGCGCGCACGGCGCCTGCGAGCCGATCAGAATCGAGATGTGTCGCGGTCTCGGCTACAACGTTACTGTCATGCCGAATCTAGTCGGTCACGAGATCCAAGGCGACGCTGATTTTACTTTACAGACGTTTAGCCCGCTTATTCAATATGGATGCAGGTAAATGCGCTTTTTTACATGTTATTCTAATAAAAATATAAGCGTCTTATAGTAGATAAATCTAAACGTAACGTCAAAAGTTTTTCGCGTGCAAAAGTAATTAAACGTCAAAAAGAAATAAAAAAATAAATATTGATGACATTGCAACTATCTATACAAGAGGAGTAATATATGTAACTTGTTGCAGCGCGCAATTACATCTATTTCTGTGCTCGGTATATGCACCAATGTGCACCGAAAAGGTCCCCGCACCCATCGGACCTTGCCGAGGTCTATGCGAGCAAGTACGAGCCCGTTGTTTTCCGGTGCTTCAGGGATTCGGCTTTCCTTGGCCTGCTGCGTTAAATTGCTCCAAGTTTCCACCAGAAAACAATCATCAACACATGTGCATGGAAGGACCGGGCGAACCTGGACCAGCTAATCCTATCCAGGTATTTAGCGATATATATTCAGTCGATTATATACATACTTGTATACAAAATTATCATGTGGCAATTCCATCCGGCTATTCTCTGTATGTAAATATGATTCTTGTTCGTCTATTTAGGCGATGAGCGCCAGCAATGGACCCTGGGGCTGTTCCTGGTACGCTAAATCTGGATTGTACATCTTCCTGAATCGCTCTGGAAGATGCGCCGCCGCTTGCGACGCCGACATTCTGTGGTCTCAAAAGGACAAGGGGCTTACAGAGGCCTGGATGGCTGTATTCACGACGGTATGCCTCGTCTCCGTCGTGATAGCTATCTTCATACTCCTAAAGCCGCGTAAACAGCCTGTACTGACCACTATCGCAGGTAAGATTTCCTTTCTGAAATTAAAACATTTCCACGTTAAAGGGCAAGTTATTTTTCTTTATTGTGACGCTTGAATTCTAAGTTTTTTAACTTCGTGATCCTTAAAAGTTTTGAGTAATGCTACTTGTGGTATCGATTCTTCGAATGTCGCTTTTCCAAGACTATCGGATTGAAAATTTGATTTAGTTATCTTTTATATAATAAAAATAACGTCCGCTTGCAGAACGTGCAATAGTCTTCTTGACGATCTGCCATGCAATAGTTGCAATCGGTTATGTGATCCGACTGGCCGCTGGTCGGCTGAACGTCGCCTGCACGCCTGCGATTCCGCTGCACCCGCAGGAGCAGATTGTCCTGGCCCAACAGCAACAACAGTACCTCACGCAAGACGGTTTAGCTAATCCTTACTGCGCTGTCGTTTTTCTATTACTCTATTACTTTGGAAATGCTGCAATTGTTTGGTAAGTTCATTTTACATTCTTTGAAATAACAAGTAATTATAAACTACTTTTGAATAACAATTATCTTGAAATGTTTCAATTCATTGTATCTATAAATAACGCAAGGTATTTATTTATTTTTTTGACAAAAAAAGGAATTTTGGCAGGCTTTCCTATTGCTCGATTTTAATTACGTACAGATGTGAGAACTGAAGGATACCCGTATAACGCGTTTCGAAGTTGTCGGTTGTTTCGGAGCGCCTTGTTGCATTCTCGCCTCGCTGCGGCGAGACTGCATCATCCGAGGTAGGGATAACAATCTGGCAACAGTGTTGACTCCCCTCGTGCCGCTAACGAGCCTCTGACTCCCATCTCGTCCCATCCCATCTCATCCCGTTTATGCTGAGAGACTCATCTTAACTCGTCTAACGGGTGGCATAAGTAAAAAATCGTCTGTCCGCCCGTATTTGCTCCGATAATTCATTACTATCGCGTTATGTAAAATAGATTTCTGCCTCGTCAGATTTATATCGATAAAGATCTCAATATATCTTAAAGGAAATATTTTTTTAACACGATATATACGTGTATTTTTTATTTAAAGATGATAAAATTTTATGATGCGAAAAGAGTTTTTAATATTCAAGTATTCGTGCTGTGAAAAAAGAAGCTTTGCAAACAATTATGCCTCGATCGTTTACGTTTTCATCGAATCGTCGGTTTTTCATTATATCTATGTATTATTGGCACTTGTGATTTTTAAATTCTTCGCTTCATATGCCTCATAGAATCTTTGTCTCTTTCAGTTTTCTTACGTTCGTATATCTTTTGATTTTCGAAATGAATCGGGATCACCCTATATATAAGGTGGGTCGAGAGGAACCTTGTTGCCAGATATGCATGGAGTCAATGGCATTCCATCTTAGAGAAAGCAAGCTGCTTCGAGACGGAGAAAGAAAGCGTAAGAAAAGCAGAACAAGAGAGAGAGAGAGAAAGAGAGTGCGAGAGAAACGGGGGATGGGGTGGGAGGTGAACAAAGCGATGCTTCTCGGACCAAGCAAAGAGCAAAAGATGATTCACAATGCGTGGATGCAATTTGTGGTTGAGATTGTGTATGCAAATGAGTTTCGCGAAATTCGATCGTCTCGTCATATAGATCCTCGAATTTATGTGAATATATATATATATATTTAAGCATAAAAAATTCTGTATATAAATCTTAAAATTTTGGAGATTTTCTTTTACAAGTTTTGTCAACGTCGAATCCATATACATAGTTTCGCATTTCTCAATTTTTAAAGTTGTACACTTTCGCTTTACAATTCTTATGTTTGAAAGGATGAAGGAATCAATACGATACGGTTAACATCTATCATAAAGGTCCGGCCCTGGATCCGAATACTTTTGTGTAGTTGTAGTGTAGCAAACTGGTCGTATAGCGTATGGTCATAATTTACATCGAAAGAGCCGATAAACATCGCGCCCTACGGACATGAAGCCACGAAGCTATGGACCCGTAGAACCTTACAACCCTTGCCATTATCCTATCTCGCTTTCTGTTACCCTCTTTTGCATTAGTCTTTCGTAACATATGTCAAGTTTATGTGAAAAGCGACGAATTCAAGATCGAAATCATAGTCATTTGCTAGAGAATAGAAACGTAACTCGATCTTTGTAAGCTCCGCTTTTATATTAGAACCAATAATTCATGCATTAGCAAATTATGAATTATTTCTGTATAATTTTATTTCTATGTGTGTGTGATATATTTATATCTATATTTTCTTTGAAAAGTCGATGCACATACAGATTTATATAGATTTTTTAATAAATCGCGATTCTAAAATTGTTAATATGTAAAAGACGTTCCACGGTTTTCGTTAGATCCTTCCATCTTCAAAGAATCGAACCGGTAATTGACGTTGCTACGCCATTGACAAAGAGGATCGTACGGGCTTCATGGTAGTAGGTAGTCCGGCAGTTTCGTTTCCGTTTCTCTCTTTTCTCTCCCTTCTTCGTTCTTCCCCCTCCCCCTCCTTCCTTTCCCCGATGCCCCAACAGTTTGACGGCCGTCTCAGGAACGAGGGGAAAAAGGATAAGTCGAAAGAAGGGCTCGAGGAAAGAGCTGATCCATCATCTCTCTCTCAATACCCAGCCGGGCCTTAAAGCTTAAGGACCCGGATCCGAGAATTTCTCGATAATTTATCCGAGATAAGAGCTCCGCGAGAATGGTGGAGCCGTCGAAGCCCCGATAACAAGCCGCTGGCATTATCCAGCGAATCCTGCGATTCGAGGGAGAGTTTCGTCCACCGTTTATAATATTAATACGATGTTGATACATTAGAATATATAAATATTATAGAATAATAAGATAGAATAAATTATATCAGTTGTGAGAACGTGACACTCGAAACATCTTTTTAGTCAGTTAGATTTTTTAATCAGAATAATAATGTAGTTTGAAGAGTAAGTATAGTATTGTAAAAAATACTTTGTAATTTTAACAACTGATTGAACTTATTTGTATTCTATTGTTAGGTTTATACAAAGAGCTCGGAGAGCGGCTCTTTATTATCATCAAAGAGATTCAAGAATCTTTCGTAATCGCTCACGCGAGTCAGTCCCGTCACATGGACCTCGCGATGGGCATAAGTTTGCGTGCATAAACAGGCTCTTTCATGCGATGCATCGACACTGCGACGCTCAATTTTTCCGAATTCATCATGAAAAAAGACGAAGCGAATCGACGAGGGAGAGAGAGAAAGAAAAAAAGGGTGAAAACGGGGAGGAATGCGAGAGGAGGTACCGTCGTGTATTAATATTAATACGATGTTGATACATTAGAATATATAAATATTATAGAATAATAAGATAGAATAAATTATATCAGTTGTGAGAACGTGACACTCGAAACATCTTTTTAGTCAGTTAGATTTTTTAATCAGAATAATAATGTAGTTTGAAGAGTAAGTATAGTATTGTAAAAAATACTTTGTAATTTTAACAACTGATTGAACTTATTTGTATTCTATTGTTAGGTTTATACAAAGAGCTCGGAGAGCGGCTCTTTATTATCATCAAAGAGATTCAAGAATCTTTCGTAATCGCTCACGCGAGTCAGTCCCGTCACATGGACCTCGCGATGGGCATAAGTTTGCGTGCATAAACAGGCTCTTTCATGCGATGCATCGACACTGCGACGCTCAATTTTTCCGAATTCATCATGAAAAAAGACGAAGCGAATCGACGAGGGAGAGAGAGAGAGAAAAAAAAAGGGTGAAAACGGGGAGGAATGCGAGAGGAGGTACCGTCGTGTATAGAGGGCCCCGCGGGGTATATAATCAGCGAGATGAGATGAGAGGGGTACTAGCTACCTCTTGTTTGTTTTGTTAGTTAGCGAGTCGTTAGGTAGTCTCTCTCCTCTTTCTCTTCCACCGTTTGGCTCAGAGAGTCCGAGTTGCACGGAAACTGTGCGAGTGGTCGACCACCCAACCGTGCGTACCAACGATTACGAGAAGGGAGAGAGGTATACTCGTGCCACGACTAATCGGCCTTATTACGCGTACTCTGATGAGATTAAGCTCGTTATTCCTCGCAATCCCATTAACCGTTCCAGTGCGGATCGATGTCGCTAGGCGAGAGAAATGCAAAGCAATTTCACTTCTTTTCGTCTTTACATATCTTCTGTTTGTCTGTCCGTGTGTGTATTCACACACACACACAGTCTCTTGTCTACTAAGTAAATTTCTCAGTCGCTCAATTCGAGATTAAGCTCGTTATTCCTCGCAATCCCATTAACCGTTCCAGTGCGGATCGATGTCGCTAGGCGAGAGAAATGCAAAGCAATTTCACTTCTTTTCGTCTTTACATATCTTCTGTTTGTCTGTCCGTGTGTGTATTCACACACACACACACAGTCTCTTTTCTACTAAGTAAATTTCTCAGTCGCTCAATTTGTATTTGATTCGATATTCATTGTAATTTACAATGCGATCGCACTTCGCAAAGTGTTAATCATTCCTTCTTTCTTTCCTTTTTTATCAACGTTCCACAAATGCAAAAAGTCGCGCATCGCGTGTGTGCACCGCATCACTCCATTCATCACCGCTATATATAATATATATATAATCATATTTTATATATTTTAACTAAATTTATTAATATCATGTCGATTGTTGTGGTTAACAAATTCTGAATGCTTACTGCTAACTACATACTATATCTTAAGCTTTCATCAACTTTATTATTTCAATAATGACGATAGATTATATTACAATAGTCTTATTTTATGATATGCGTAGAAATTTGCGATAAAAATCTCTGAGAGCAACGAATTATTCATTTATTCGCTGAGAACCTTTTCGGAGGCTGGAATGAACAATGGTTCAGCGGTGTGTGCTGGTCGCGTGTGAGACAGAAGGAGCGCCTCTTCTCCTCGCACATAGTGTCGTATACATGCACGTGCAACTGCGCTGTACCGGCTATAATCCGTTTCTTCCAGCAACCAGTCTGTCGAGAAAAAAAGAGAGGGAGAAAGAGCAGTTGCGGTGAAAAGCCGACTAATTAATCACGCGAGTCTTCGACAAGATCGAAAAGCAGCGCGAACAGGTCAAACGAGGCGCAAACACTCGCTCACTCGACTGCCTCGCGTCATTCCATCTCGCTCTCGTGCTTATTCTACCGCATCCCTTTCTCAACCTCTCTTGTATTCTTTCTTCTTTTATTATACTGAAAGCTGTAGTAAGTTCTCTCGCAGGACCGTATAATCGACTCGAAGAAGCCTCCGGAGAAGTTTGCATCCGTTCACAAAAATTCTCTCTCTTTGCAATTCTTTTTTTATCCTTTAATCTAGCCTTTTGATATATTTCATATTTTAACTTTCGGAACTATAAAACAATTTGACGAATCGTTCCTGCAAATAATTCGAAATTTCTCTGTGTTATCCGATACGATTTCGATCGCAGGTGGGTCGTGATATGTGCGTGGTGGTGCATAATGGCCAGAAAATGGACGAAGACGACCGGCAACTGCAAGGAGGATAGTTTAGGACAAGGATTCTCAACCATCACCGCCGTCTTGGCTTGGGGCTTGCCCGCTACGCACACTATTGCTGTACTGGTTACAAGAGATGTCGATGCCGACGAGTTGACCGGTAGGTATTATTACATCTTTTAATTCTATTCTGTAAGATCGAAGATGCTACAAAATCATAGATCAACCAAGTATTTTTTTTTTTTTTTCAAGCTTTTACCTTTTCCGTTGCTTTCGTTCAGCCTCTTATAATTTAACAAATTTTTAACAAATTATCGAGCTCGTATAGAACCTAGCATTCGCCAATAGCACGTTGGTCAGCCTCTAAGAAGACTGCCCGGAGGATTTTACGGCCACGCCTCGTTATACCGTTTGTTTTATGAGGTTGCGCCATTGGCGTAGTTGGATCCTCGCAGGATCCAACTCGATTCATCAACGCAAATTCTTGTCAGTTTCTGATAATTGTTTTGTTTTTTATCTTGACTCATCTCTCTCCACATCTATCTTTATATATCCTTGTCACATTTTCTCCATTTATCTTAATTCGAGCTTCAGGTCCAGCTATTTTATGCTAATACGTGCCGCTCTCTCGTGTTTATGTTCTCGATAAGTTATGCTCAAAGGTGAGACCAGCGAGATTAGCATCTTTGAATTAAACGACCAGTATGCAACGTAGCAATATCTGTCTACGTACCCAACCTTCAATTACTTTTATAATCATTATACTTAATCTTGAATATGCAAGAAAAATTGTGCAGGTCATAACATATATAAGTAAATATACAGTGAATTAATGTTAATTATATTAGAAAGTAGCATTTTTCTCTCTCTAAATATTCTACATTTATTAAAATTTCACGCACAATTTTTTTAGTATTTAATATTTTCTATCGTACCTTAACTATCTTTCAGTCGTAGGGAAGGAAATAAAATTGGGTCGAACCGCGGTTAATTCGTGGATTGCGGAAGGAATGTCAGCGACGCGCTCAACTCGTCAGTATGTCAGGATTCCGCTGCACATTCTTTGTTACGAAATAAAAATTTTTTCGTTATGTGAGAAGCACAGGAATGAAATTCTTCTCTCGCGTGTTTTCGTTAATACGTTATTTTATAGATATCCAAATTTCTATTGCAAGATGTATCAGAGAATGTTTTCATATGGTAAGTGTTTTAGACATGCAAATATCTAGACATTTTTTTACAATGATACACGCATAGATGCATGATATCTACGAATATTCGAGGATGTCATCCGAAACACGTCGGCGTGACATTCACTGCGGAATCTGCATGCTCTCGTGTGTCAAATCAAGTAAATTTGCTGACGGCAAATTTCGAGAAAGTTGCCAAGCCATCCGCGCATGCACATAAAGGAACAAACCCGGTTAGTCGAGATCCTTTCTCTGTCTCTCTCTCCTTTTCCTAGCAGGCGACATTCAATGCAAATACCTTCAAACTTGCCCTGCAACTTGTCACTGTCCGCCGATAGGACCAAGAGGCTACTTTAAAACTCGAAACTTCGCATGCACAAGAGATTTTAATCAGAGATTCCCTCATCACTCTTCGGTCTTCATTTCGTAGATTAGATTTCTGAAATTATTTTTTGAAAAAAACTCAGATAATTAGATATACTAAACTGTAGATCTTACTTATATTCGGTTATTTGTAACGGTATTGACCATTTTTTCTAACAATGCGCAAAACTTCAAAAGTGTTATTCTCACCCTGAGAACATTTACAACAATTTTTGGAAGGTAAATGGCTCCGCATTCATAAACGAAAAACGGTCGCTTTTCTTAAAATGAGACAATACTATACACATGTCAAACATCCAAATATAAATACAAATGTTTTGAAAAATGGTTTTCGTCACAAGATATTCTTTTTCTGTTGCAGCAAGTTGCTTCGTTGGCCAGCAGAATACGCACTCTCTACTCGTATTAGTACTAGCTCCGCAATTCGTTTATCTATCGTTCGGCATAATGTTTCTATTGGTGGGTTTAGCGTCATTGACATTGTCACAACGTCCAACGGTGACGCCGACGTCGACATCGGCATCATCATCGTCGGCGGCAACAGCGGCGGCTGCAGCATCTACGATGACGACAGCAGTTTTAACAGCGTTAACGACGTCCCATACGAATCCGCTGATGCGTCAGCAGCGCGAGATGTCCGGTAAATCGTCCCCGGCCGAGATTCATCGGCGACAGAAGCAGCTGTTGATCCGCGTTGGCATATTCGGCTGTCTTTACGCCGTTCTGATAATCTGCCTCGTCAGTACAACTTTTTACGAATGGTGGGGCAGGGAGACGTGGCTCCGAGCACCGGAACCGTCCACGGCGCCGCGTGTGCCCGCTCGACCTGTGTTGCAGTTCTTCATATTGCGGCTGGTGCTGACTCTTGGTGCCGGCGTGATGGCTTCCGCGTGGATCTGGTGGCCGGAAGTAACGATCGTGTGCCGCAAGCTATCGCACTGCAAACAACCGCCGCACAAATGTCATCCGGTACCTGTCGTGCATTGTTACAGCGCCGGTACCGCTAGTCCCGTACCTCATCAGATTCATCATCTCAGTCATTTGACGCCGTCGCAGCATCCTTTGTTACATCAACACGCAATAGCGAATTCGCAAATGCCTCATAGAAACTATAAAAAGTATCGGAAACATCGAAAACATCATTCTGGCAGCGAGACGCAAGTTTGAATGACAATCGCAATTGCGCGTAGTTCATTGTTGGTCACAAAGTGCCTTAAACACGTCATGTATTTAGCCTATAACACGTAAAAGCGATACGAGCGTAATGTATCCTTTGTCTGCCAATTTCTTACGTGCATGCGTAAAGTCATCCGTTCTAATTTAAGTTATTTTTATCGTATTCGTTTCATAATTTTTCATGTATTCTGTTCATTCCACGTTTATAACGTAATATAAATTTAATGACGTTTCTCTTTCTCCATTTAAGATAGAACCGTGTGATGAAAGAATCTTCATCGCAATTTTAGAGATTCGTAATGTATCCTTTGTCTGCCAATTTCTTACGTGCATGCGTAAAGTCATCCGTTCTAATTTAAGTTATTTTTATCGTATTCGTTTCATAATTTTTCATGTATTCTGTTCATTCCACGTTTATAACGTAATATAAATTTAATGACGTTTCTCTTTCTCCATTTAAGATAGAACCGTGTGATGAAAGAATTCTGGAAGATTCCTTCATCGCAATTTTAGAGATTTATTGGAAAATGCAATTTACATTAATAAACTACTATAAATGGTGCGTCTCCTAAATACGCCATTGAATTTATTTGCTGTAATATTCGTGGAGATGAGAGAACGGTCGGTGCTAAATTTAAACCTCGAAGGATAGCAGTCGGAGAAGAATGCGTTCAATTAGGTTTCCTACACGTGCAATCGTGATCATGTAAACGCATATGTATATAAAGCATCACGAATAAATCTCGTATAATACATCACATAGATAGATCGCACTTTAATTCTGTGATGTATAATTTTCGACACGGCGCGATCTTTTTAATCCATTGTTAGCTAAATTCTTTTACATGTACAAAGTTTATTTCGTTATATTAATAGTTTACTCTTCTTTTTTCTCAAAAATTATTTTCGCGTTATACGAGAAAAAAAATTTTTTAAATAAACGGACGGTTTGATGTGATATCGATGGAATTATTCAGATTGATTGCTAATACAATATGTAATATAAATATTTAAAGTGTATATATTTTTTCTCCTTATAACTTAATTCCAGACAGCACAACGTAAATATTTGTGAACTATGACTATTGATTAAAAAGATAATTCAAAATAAAATTTATCAAGTCAATATTGTAATAACATCATTTTTTAAATACTATGTTGCAATATTATATATTTTAAGATTATTTCTGTCAACTCGTCCGACTTGTTTCTAGATTATCGATAAATTGTCAAATTGTTATTGCCATTTTAAGCGCATAAAATATGAATATCTAGACCGTATTCCAAATTCCAAAATTCACAGTCAGTATTGGAAAGAACAGACTCATAGATTCCCATTACTGGCAGTGAATTTTAGAACACAGCCCTAGATACAAGCATGATTTGTTACTATTATGTTGCGCATGCGCTAAAAAGGGAGCATGATCATATTGCGCGAGTACACGAAAGACGAAAGTCGTACGAGTGTATCGAAGACTTGATTAATTGTTTTTAAATGATTTAAAGAAATAGTGGTGTTGTGTTTTAAAAAATACTGATATTTATATCGAAAAGGAAAAAGGAAAGAAATTTGTTATATTCATTATAGCAGAAATAGGCGGAGATTATAAAATTAGAGGTTATGTGTAATCATAATCTTGATGTAAAAGAAAAAAAAAACATCTTTTGATAAATAATATCCTTCGTAAAAAGAAAGACTTGCATATTTTCTGTTAGTAAATTCGCAGAGGAGACATGGACCCTGATTTTGAGGAACTTTCACATGACACAAATATAATCGCTAGGCTACAGCAGTTCAGCGAAGCAGCCTTCAAAGTTCAGGATGTAGTGGAATCAGTAGTTAGCGATCCTTCACTATATGAAAAACTGTCCAACGTCAATAAGATTAAACATAACTTGATGTTATCTTATAGTCTTAATAGTCTATTTTGGATGTACTTGCGAGCTAAAGGTGATCAAAGATTAATTTCTAAAGCATGAGGAAAGTATCGAATTTACATTAGCATTGACCATTAAATTTTGCAGGAATTGATCCGTCGAAGCATCGAATTAAATCGGAGAATGAAAGACTAAAGAAAGCAATGGCTCGAGCGAAGCAAATCCATGACAGAAACACACTTATGCCACGCATCAACAAGAATGTTGCCAATAGACTTGTGAAAAACAGTTTATGGGAATTAAAGAAAAAAAAATCTGAAAGCACAGAGAAGAAAATTGAAAGTTCTGAAGATTCGTTACCTACATAAATGTAAATTTTGTTACATTTTTATACATTATATATTTGTGGAATATGAAGTGTAAACATTATCTCTCAATGTGCCATTTTATATGAAGCTTGAGAAACGTTGTCTTTATAATTAAATTCTTATTCATTTTGTCATTATAATTATTATAATTAATATCTTATTCATATTACACATACATATATATAAATTAATTTTTATTATATCTTATTCAAAAAAATTTTACAATATTTGTCAAGCAAAAAACTTGTTATGAAAACAGAGTTTACAGATTTTTAATTTGGGATGTATGTATACATATAATTATTAGTCTATGTATTTTTATTTTATTATTATTTTCTCTTTCTATTATGAGAATTTTTATATCTTTCTAATTATTAATATACTATCTATAACTGTATATAATTTAATATAATACAATTACGATTGATTGACACTCCTATGTTTCCTGTTACATCCTGTGCAAGAACTCTATAACGCTTGTTCGAAAAATAATTTGTATGCACCACGGACTTTAAATCTGTAGGGCTGTGTTCCGATTCCCCACCCGAGTGCACCCGATATTATAGTATATGTGACATATACTATAATACCGGGTGGGGAATCGGAACACAGCTATGCATATAAAATATGTCTATCTCTCAATCCCTCCCTTTTGCCAATCGGCACCATTAATGTTCCGTCTATATATATTTTTTAAATGTCTATGATTGTGAGAGAGAGATGATACAGCAATTTTATAACGAATAGTAATAGTGATAAAGTGACAGCTGTCTGACTCGTTAAAATGAAATATAAAGTTAACAGAACATAACAATATATTTCATCTCCTTTTCGAGGTGACAATATTGCTAATTCCTTTCAAAACCATCAGACATGATTCATGAATACCAAGACACGACGCATCCGATTCGAATCCAGAAAAATGTCGTCTATAATTTTTACTAATCTATGACATGGCACGGGAGCCAATACAAGTCTCGCAGATTTAACGCGATGTTGTAGTACGTTACCGGAAGATGGCGGTCACAATGGCCGCCGAGAGACCGGCGAGCGGTGAGAGCATCCGTGCAGTCAATGTTGTGAACCCCTAATACGATCCCGTGGCGCGCAGGCGCAACACGATCTTCTTAGAGTATCCATTTTGATCACATGTGAGTATCCCGAGCTATTCTCGTTTTCGGCTTCGACTAATGGTGCTAATTGTACGAGCGAGCGGCGGAACATTGAGAATACGTGGGTGATTGCCGGGCCGGTTCGTATCCACGCAACCACGATGCGCCAGGGCCGATTCTTAACCCACCCGCGATGATAATCGGCTCGCGTTGCCAATGTGGCTCGCTCGCCTTCGCCTGCTCGATCGTCTGTTCGTTCGCCGCGATTTCTGTCCGTCGTGCGAAATACGCCGTGCGCGATTGAACGGCGAGTTCGGGGACGTCGCGACGCCTGTCACGAGCACGCTCGACGCGAATCGGGCTCGCCGCCGAGACTCGCGATCTCATCGCGCGAGACATCTTTGGTTAGTCGCGCTCTTCATCCGCTTCGGCACCTCTCGCGAACTTTTCGCGACGACGCGCCACGTGGTCACGCTGTCCGCCCAGGTGTAACCACACATTGCGATCGTTTGAATTTCAATGATTCGCCCATGGCCTGCTAACAATGCAGATAAGATGATTACAGCGTTAGATTATGCGGAGAATATGCAGACATCCTGCGTTAAGCACGAGAATATTGTCACGTCAAAATATAGCTTATCCGGTCGTTTTGTTTTTTTTTTTCTTTCGTGCAACTAACGTTAATAAAATGCTAACGATAATACGCATTCCCGGATATTAATCGGTCAGGCTGCTTTGTCAAATACAGCTGTAAAATCGTATTATTAAAAGTAGCAAATGATTTATTAAAATTGTTATCGCTATTGTCACTAGCAAATTATTTTAAACACTGCTACGAGCTTCTTTAGAGCATTAATTTTTTTGGAAGGGAAAGGAAAAATTATGAATCTTAAGAGAAACTGATATAAAACTTAATAAAATTTTTGTTTTATACACAGATATCTGTAAAACAACTATGGCTGACATCGAGGATACTCACTTTGAGACTGGAGACTCTGGAGCTTCAGTTACGTATCCTATGCAGTGCTCGGCACTGCGCAAAAATGGTTTTGTCATGTTAAAGTCACGTCCCTGCAAGATTGTAGAAATGTCGACTTCTAAAACTGGCAAGCATGGTCACGCCAAGGTTCATTTAGTAGGTATCGACATATTTACCTCCAAGAAATATGAGGATATTTGTCCATCCACACACAATATGGATGTACCGTTTGTTAAGCGGGAAGATTACCAGGTAAAGCACAGCCTCTCTTCTTAATCTTTTATACCAAGCTAAATATAGAAAATTATTTAGCTCAAATTCAAGTTTACTTTTTTATACTTTCAATCTCTACCTAGTCTTGAAAGAGTTAACAAATTTTTATTGTTTTCTTATGTTCATATAAATATATTTTAACATTATTGTACTCTTCTTTTTTCTCTATTTTTCTGTTATCTTAACAATTTTGAACTTTGACAATATATGTAAGTTTCAATCATTCTATTTTAAAATTTGAGACATATTTGTAACACAGTCAATGTAAAAACTGCAATTTTTTTGTGGCAGCTTACAGATATATCTGACGATGGCTATCTTTGTCTGATGGCTGATAATGGAGAACTTCGCGAAGATCTCAAGATACCTGATGGCGACTTGGGAACACAACTGCGTGCTGATTACGAGTCTGGAAAAGAATTACTTGTAAGTATATTTTTATGTATGATATATGCATGAGTTATACTTGTTATTAACATTCTTACATGTTGCATAATTAATATTGATTAAATTGTAATATTATTTAAAATGTAATTTTAAACATTGTTGAATCGTACAAGTACATGTATAGGATTCTATAAGAGATTCATAGGTGAATAATTTGTCTTGCTTTAAAATATTTGCAAGATATTATACATTCTTAATTGTTGAAATAATTTATTACAAATAATCATATAATTAATGTAATATGGCAAACCGCTAAGAATATATATTTCCAAATATATTATACTCACGAAATGTCTTATAATATTTAAAAAAAATCTAATCTATCTATATATTTTCCATTTCTATTATAGTAATTATTATGCTAATTATAATTTCAGCATTACATCTCTACAAAAGTTTCTCCAATTTCAAAATGTTTTTTTAGTCTTAACATATGTACTTTTATTTTTTGTTCTTATATACAATCATTACTTTACTGTGTCTAAGAAATTAATATCAATCTCTAATATTCCCTTTTTATTAATTGATAATATAATATAATATAATATATATTAGCACATTATATAAAAATTCTATCGAAAGAAAATTACTTTCTTATTTCTCTAAAACTAAAACCACATTAAGCGTATGATTCTTTATTGGATATGTAAATTTATATTGTATTTTTTAGTGCACTGTACTCAAGGCATGCGGTGAGGAGGTAGTAATCGCCGTCAAAAACAACACCTCCCTCGACAAATAATTGTGTTCAGCCCGACAACTACGACGACAAAAAACCCAATATACATTCGAGCTAAAACCACCCGCTTAGCCAATCAATTGATACCTTTACTATTGGTCAAACAGGATAAACAACAATAATAATAAATCTATAGGAAGATGATGAAGAGAGTGGAAGAGCGAAATAGAAATGGAGAGAAAGAGAGAGAATGAGCGAGAGAGAAAGAGAGAGAGAAAGAAAAAAGCATAAGCAAATAAAACGGGCTAGCAATTCCTAACAACAGCAACGCGCCAGTGCGAAAAGCGACTTTTATCGAAGTAACATCTGCTTACTTAATTATTATTCAACAATATTTAAATGAACAAATCCGGGAAAGCGAGAACTGCGTATACGTACACTCAGTTCTATACATTTAATACATACATATACACACATAGACAACACAGATAAATAGCGTATATGTGTGCACACATACATACAGGACATATTTACACATATACTTATACATTCACACACGCGTTGTTTGTTATACAAGAAAGTGGTGACAACTTTTCAGCAGAAAGTTGATTGAAAATAAAAACTGAGAAAGCCTTGACACACATCCTGGACCTTTTTTTTTTTTAAAGAATAGAGAGAAAGAAATTATTTACAACAGCTTTGTAACTTATTACACTTATATGTGTGAGTGAGAGAGTATACATGAGAGAATGAGAGAGAGAGAAAGAGAGAGAAAAAATTGTTGGAGACCAATACGAAGAGGTCGTGGAAAAAGGACTCTAGAGTCTTTAACGCGCGCGCGCGGAACAATTTTTCATGGGATGCTAGCGATGCCCGACACAAAGCAGCTCACTTCAAGCATCTTTCCTGATGATCGATTCATAATGATTATAAACAAGACTGGCGTTTCACTATACAGAATTTATACATATAATGGTCTACAAGATTTCTTCTTTTTTTCCCTTTTTTTTGTGGAAAGAACTTGAGTTCTCGAGATTTTTAGGTCTAATACAATCTAACTGCACAAAAGTTGAACATTCGAATTTTTCTTGTTTAAGAATCTGGAAGGATTTAAAAATATCACATTTCATTTTCCGATAATTAAAAATTTGCGAATTCAACGATGGCAATTCGAAATTTTTGATATCTAATGAGATTCGAGAATTTTGAAATAAAATTTCAACATTCTAATCTTTAATTTCTAAACGAGAAATCGGAAAGAAATCGGTAATTTAAAATGCTCGATAGCTATGAATTTCAAAATCGGAAGATCTGAAAGTTTTTAATTAAGATTTTTTTTTATATATCAACGAGCTTGCTATGCACAAAGGTCTTGATATTTTTCATTGAAAGATTAAGAAACGTAAAAATTTAGTGATGAAAATATCTTGTCGGAACTCTAGAAATATAAGAATTTAATCAACAATATGTAAAAGCTCAAAGTTATAATGTCTAACGATATTAAGATACGATATATGTGTAGACCTCTAAATCCAAGAACGTCGAGATCATGCAAGATAACAATTTGTGCGCTTTGATATGGCCGGTGCGGCGCAATGCGATATCGCATCATGTTCAAAGACTGTAATTGGCTTATGAATGCTCAGACTTTATTACATTTTGTTGTAATATTTCGTTTTAATAAACATTTTTCAGAACAGGTTACACGAGCCGCTTTCACTCGACGAGATAATTATCTAATCTTTTAATTAGACGACGTAACACTAAAATTAGCAAAAAGATAGAACAGTGAGTGGAAGATTCTTGTGTGAACTTGCAAATGTGCGTAAAGAATCTTTCCCTTAGATCCTTTTTATCTCGTGTCATCGTTTGTATAAAAAAAAAAATTGTTCCGATGGTGCAGTCTGAATGATTAGAAATAATTATAAGCAGATAATTAACTACAAGAGTGTATAATCACAGTTATCATTGGAAGGTATACGTTTTTTTGCCCTCCCATAGAAACATTTTGTCACTCGGAATTTGTTTAATTTGGCGTCCTTGCAATATTCCCATTTTATTTTTTTTATTAGCAAAACCTCTACTGTTTAATAAAACAAAATTCTGAATTTTAAAAAATTTTTAATTTTTTCCCATAAAACATCCAGATTGCTTACAACTTGCTGCGAGAATCCTTCCGCATCTCCGAGCTTTGTGTTAGTGTGTTAGGATTACGGTTTCAAATATGTTCCTAGCGATTAAATGTCCTTCAAACATTTAATAAAATTCCTTTATTTAACAAATGAATACGAAGTCCCCAAATCGTCAAATATATATACATATAAATTTCGATGTATATCTAATAATTATTATCCTCTTATATATCCCTCTTTATTAAAATTATATATTTTATATAAAATTCCATTTTTTAATCATTTATTATGAAAGGGAACTCGAAATAACGCGCCTTCCTTGATGACTTTGATCTTTTGGCGACGACATTAAAATCGAAAACTCATCTATTATAATCGAAATAAACAAAATATCGAATAATTAATTAATATGAGAAATAAATCAGCGTCTGTAATCTATGTGTGCTATGTTGGACCAGGTTCATAATTATTTTGATTGTTAACTCTATAACCAAAAAAGAAATCAATTTAAAAAAAAAAAAAAAAATAGTATAGACATAGTGGAAAAATATTCACGCAGAGAAATGATGTGTGGTGACGTCCTTTCTTTTTCAGTCCTTTCTCTTAGACTGACTCGCCCGCACACTGCCATTATTCAAAATTCGCAAAAAAATGTTAAATTACATCTCATTAAGTTAATAATATATGTAATAGTAAAATAATTTATATGGGTAATCGGGGGGTGGGGTAATTCACAAAAGTGTAAAAAAAAGGCACTAACGTAAAAAACATGCTTTTCTTTTTCTTGTGTTTTACGTACTTACAAATTCTATTCGTTATTTTTGTGTGCCTCTTTATTTACGAGGAATAATCTAAGCGCACCCCCATGGATCATAGAATATGCGACATTCTCGAAATGTATGGTTGCGCAGTCAAGATTTCAAGGATTCATAGTACCAAGAGTCTTTAATATGTCGACATTATTTCGTGTGTATCAAAAATTCAGAAGTTTTAAGGATCGGGATAGAAATTTTTAACAATTATCGTTTTAGAGACGCAAGGATTCGTGGTACTAGCGATCTTTGAGATTCTAATAACTCATTAGTCCAAGGATTTGTAGTATCAAAGATCCATGAAATTCCAGAATATATATAAATATCATGTGTATCCTCCCCCCGCCCCTTCCCGCTGCGATATACAAGGATCTATGACTTCGAGGATCTATGGTACTGACAGATTTTTGTACTCATAAAATATTTAATACAAACGAATAAAATTTAATTTGAAAACTTTTATTTGCGCACTATATATGGATTCATTATTATTATAACAAATGCAAAATGCAATCGCTCCTTTTGGATTTTTACGTAAATAAATTGTTTTATATACTATCCCTCGGAGGATGTGTGAGCTATGTTAAAATTTAATTCTAAATAATATGTTAACGGGATATTCTTCAATACATCCAAATGTTACAAAAATTTTAAGTTTAAATTCATATTTAAACAATATTAATATAAATAAAGATAAATTTATAATTTCTATGTGTAGCTTTTAAAGAGCTTCTCATTTGCGAAGATAGATTTCTTCTTACAATAATTGCGATGCGATATTTCTTTTCCAACTTTACATATATCAGTTTCAGCGTTTAATTACACGATTTTAAATTTAATCCTAAACAGTATATATATATATATATATATAAGCGAAATATTGATATTTTTTTAAACATTATAAAAATGTTATGGAGTTATTACCATCTTTCCATATATATCAAACTTAATACAAACCGAAAAAAGAAAATTGCTAATTGCTAAAAATTAATGTAATTTTTTCGAGATCTCCTTTTATGTATAGTAAATGTTATACTATAACATTATAACTCACTCTTTCTTTTGCATTTTACATTTTTTTATCTAATTTACCATTCTAAAACGCGTTGCACCTTTCCCGCATATTTACAATAAATTCTATTTCATTCCATATTAAACAAATTATTTCATACTGTTTAGGTTTAATCAACGCGTTCGTGATTGATCCATGTGTCTGGGCAACAAAATGCTGTAATAAATGTCATATTTAAAAAATGTAAACTGACCTTGATTCCAGGAATTCTACGATTTTTATGAATACTGTGTGACTTGAAAAAGTCTAGATTGCAGCATTTAAAATTCCCAATGTCCAAAAAGATTTTAAGACTGTTGGGAAACAGATAGAAGAGTCATAAGAAATTTAGCATTTCTAAGAAAATCTAAAAGATTTCACGGATTCCAAAAATATAAAAACGTCTGTGAAAAATTGAAAGATCCCAAGCAAAGTTAAAGGATCCATAAATACCACGAAATTTATTCGCAATCATAATCAAAGCTTTCTTGTTGTTCACAGGATCAATTATTGGCGTTTCGCCTCTGTAGCGCTGCCGCAAGATCCTGCCTGAGCGCAGCCTGTTGTCTTTGATCAGCCAAAGATTGTACCGATCGCAACCCGTTCACGATATCTTTTGTTTTACCAAAGTAGATCTCGTTCAGCGTATTGCGGATCTTGTTTTCCATATCTTCCACCATTCTGCCGATATTCGCGATATGAGGGGACGTTTCGCTAATCTGAGCATCTTGTTCTACCTGTAATTATGCGCGTACATTTTTCATTTATCTATCTCGATATAAATTGAGCATTAACTAGAAGAATGTGAATAGGCAAAGAATCCAAAAATTAATAGTTTTATGTACTGTTCCGAAGGCTTACCTGACGTGTCAGACTGCCACCCAGATTCATTGTACCAGAGCCATGCTTGTTGGTCTGTAACCACAGCATGGCTGTCGATGTGAGTTTATAATGAGCAGTGCGACCAGTTGATTTCTCCTGCACTTCTACCACATGTATCGAGTCCCAACAACCTTTAATCTTCTTGGAACCATCGCCAGCCTTCTTAATAAGAATCACCGCTGCAAATCCATGATCCAGATCCCACAAGTACACCGAAGAGACCCCGCCTTCGAAATAGAGCTCTCGATATTGATCGAAAGCATGATTAGCATCTATTTCCAGTTTCCTCAGTCGTTCGGAAGGCATCGAGCCATCTTCAAGCGGAGGATCGTAAGTGTTGCTCCAAGGAGATCTGCATAGAAATACATAAAATGGATTTGTACGCTATCTTTTTTTTTATCATCACATCATCAGAATGCTCATTTAGATCAAACCTATATGAATCTCCATCTCTATTGTAGTCACACAGAAGATAGTCCTTGCCAGACTCCTTATCCTTGGCAATCTTTAACGGTTGATCTACCGAAGACAATAGATCCTCGCATAATGAAGGAACCAAATCGATTAGGTCACTAAGGTTCTTCTCGATTTGCTGCGGTGGCAGTCTCCGCATCAGATCTAACGCACAATCCATTTGCTGTTCCGTCTAGAATATATAATCGAAGAATATGAAGATAGAAAATACGATTTATATGTATTTATGACACCATTAATCATATATGTTCTCACTTCTTTTTCAAGATATGATTTTTATATCCACGATGATGATAATGTAAGAGGAAGAAGTCGATGATAAAGGAAAGGATAAAATTATTGTTAAATACGTTGGATAATTTCTAAAATTACTTATTTACAAATATGTACAATAAGAAGAGAATAGGTAATAAATAAGGGATAAATATCTCACCATAGTGCTCCGATTGGTTATAGGCCGACGAACATCAAAATCCTATTAGAAGATGTTCGTAATGAGATAAACGTATCTTTTATCAGTCACTATCTCGCTGGGATCTTCTCGAAAATAAACGAAACGAGCATTTAAAGGGTGTGTCGTAATGCGAGCAGCGATTGGTTCGTCGCGCTCGTCGCTGGCTCTTGCCTCCGAGAAGAGCGAGGTTAACTGTCCGCGTCGCAGGCTAGCCAAACTGACATTTAAGCCTAATCTGACGTTGTCATAAGAGCGGATTGGTTGATTACACATAATGTATGAGAAATTTTTCGGATAAGGCCAGAAATTTTTTTTTCTTTTTAATCTTTCCTTTGA